TTCAGCAGGGCTGGGGGTGAGGTTGTGAGTCTGCGTTTCTCCCAGGTCCCCAGGGCACGCCAGTCTGCACATATTGGGACGAGAGGATCTGTACTGCCCACTGCAGTAGCTGCTAACTATATGTGGCTATTTCCATTTTCATCAATCAAAATTAAATAAAGTAAAATATTCAGTTCTTCATTCATGTCAGCCATGTTTCACTGGATCAGTAGCCATATTTGGTTAATCAAGGTTAGCCAGGTCAGTCAAATAGAGAGCTTTAAAAAAAAGAAAAGAAAAAAAAAAGAATTATTTCTTTATTTTTTAAATTTGCCATAGAGGATGTGTGCTCACCGGACAAAGACAGAGACCAGGGAGTGAGAAAGCAAGCCATCACCGTGGTTGACCCCCGGGAGTCCAGCACCTTAACCAGCATGCCACCTGCTGGCCTCAGTAAGAGCATTTTAAGCATCCCAGAAAGTGCTCCTGGATCTCAATGGCTCAGCCTCTTCATTTCATTCTAGTGCCCAGCTAATTTGGATTACTGCGAACTGTCTCACATATAAACTATACATGGATGAAATGAGTTGCAAGTGCACTTACTGAGCCTGACACACAGGATTGAAACACTGACCAGACCCCATCTAATCCCCTGTTCCCCTAATCCCTGTCTTGTTCTTAGGGGGTATAAGCTACTTGGAGGTTGGCCACTAGTCTCCTCTGTTGTTCATTTTAGATATCTAGCCAGGCCAAGCCTGGCATGAGGCAAGCAAGGAGCCTTCCACTGCCCAGAAAGTGAATCCCTCCTTAAATTTGCACCCAGGCCTTGCTTCCTTACTTTAGTCCTAGCCCCATCAAACAAATATGCTTTCTTGACAACATCGCCCCTAGCTTTTGCTCTAAGGGTCCTGAATCACTAAAGTACCGTGTAAATGTTTGCCATTATTATCATCTTTATTATTTTTTTTTTAAATTTTGTCAAAGGGGACATGTACTCGCCAGAGAGAAAGAGAGAGAGAGAGAGAGAGAAAGGGGCACCCCTCTCCCCCTGTGCGGAGGATAGTCTCACTGCAATCCTTTCTCCTCCATTTTTCCTTCCATTTGGGATTCTGAGAAAACACACACATGCACCTGGGGTGTTTCTCAAGCTACTGGGTCCAGGACTTGAACCATGCAGTCGGCCAGGTGGGATCCAGCTGCCTTAACCACCACAGCATGCTGACCCCATTATTATCGTCTTCTCTGTGTGCCATGACAGGAGAACGGCTGGGAAGCACTGTTCTAAGGCTCAGTCACGGGCGATGTGCTAGCCCCACAGCGCCATCACTGTAGACAAGTTGTGAGTTCTCTAACATTCACAGGCTAGCATCAGAGAAGTCAAAGTAGATAAACTACTAGGAGATGAACAAACGCTGGCACTACGTTAGGAATTGTGGGGAAAGGGTCAATCGGGGATAGAATCAGAATATTATTTTGGGAAACAGAGCAGCTCCCTTATTTATGAATGAGGAGTTTGATCTAGGAAACAGGCCCAGAGAGGGTCAACAGCTAGTCCAAAACTATGTGTCCAGTTAGCGCAGTGCTGAGACCAGATCCTTTGTCTTTCGAGTCCAAAACCAGTGTCTTTTCCCTTGCACCATAGTATACAAGTAACAGAAGATGGGGAGGTTTTACTTTAACTTCCTGGAGTTGCCGGTTTTAAAACTTGGTAGCATAACTTCAACTTATGCCAGTCCATCACTAGGTAGGGCCCTAGGGATGCCCTCAAGCCTGGGTTCATATGCCTTGTTTCCCTGGCAGGTCTGATTATGTCTGCTATCACAGTTCTCATCCTCATTCTGTACTTTGTGATTGACAACTTCGTCATTCAGCGCAGACCATGGCTCTCCGAGTGTACTCCTATCTACATCCAGTACTTTGTCAAGTTCTTCATCATCGGTGTCACTGTACTGGTGGTGGCTGTGCCCGAGGGGCTGCCACTGGCTGTCACCATTTCGCTGGCCTACTCGGTGAAGGTGAGGTGGGAACTACGCTCTTTCTTCTTTAGGACAGAGGTGGGAGGGGAGGGTACCAATGACTTTGGTGAAAGGAGAGGCCACTGTCTCCTCTACCAGCTTAAGGTGGTGCCTCGCAAGAGAAATCGCTGGTACTATGGAAGGACCATCTCAGTCACTCGCATCAATGATTAAATAACCTAGTAGACTCTTCAGAGACCCACGGATGTAGTATCTTGCATTTTCATGTGGGAATAAAGACACGCATGTGGGAGGGATGTCTCCTAAGAAATGGTCTTTGACTTGCATTTGGTCCCCTCTCAAGTCCTTTTTGTTTTCCTTTGTAGAAAATGATGAAAGACAATAACCTGGTCCGACACTTGGATGCTTGTGAGACGATGGGCAATGCCACAGCCATCTGCTCCGATAAGACGGGCACGTTGACCATGAACCGCATGACTGTGGTACAAGCTTGCGTTGGGGGCACCCATTACCATCAGATCCCAAGCCCTGACGTCTTCGTGCCCAAGGTCCTGGACCTTATTGTCAATGGCATTTCTATCAACAGTGCTTATACCTCCAAGATTCTGGTAAGCTCTTCCTTTGCCTAGACATTTAGGATGGGTAGTTGGGGGCCAGATGGTGGCACAGTAGTAACACAACTGGGCCTTCATGGCTTAAGGTCCTAGGACCTCCTGAGCAGGTCTGGCCAGCCAAGACCAGGGATGGATCATGCCATGAAGATCTTATCTTGTTAGGGATCTCTTTCTCTCTTTCTCTCACGCACACATACTCAGAGGAAATAAATGATGCACTAACACTGCCACTAGAGCAAAGTACAAAACCCCTAAATCCGGGTGGGCTCAGGGATCGTCCATTCCCTATCTTGATGGGCCTGGGGCATGCACACACAAGTGCTCAGCATGGTTTTCGAGCCACTGGAGCCAGGATTCAAACCACGTGGTTGGGATGAGAGGTTCGGCTCCCTTAACCACCAGGCTTCAGGGCCAACCCTGAAAGGGTTCTTGTTATTTTTGTTGTCATTTTTAGTTTTGTTCATTATTGCCACAAGGGTATATACTTGGGCTCGGCACATGTACTCCCATATAGAAAGAGAGCGCACACCCGCCAATGGGGCATGGTCACACCACAAGCCTTTTTCTCCATTCTTCCGTCACATCAGGATTTGGGTCATCCATGCACATGTGTACACCTGGCACATTTTTCAAGCCACCGGGACTGGGATTCAGACTGCATTCAGCCACGTGGGGTGCACCTCTCTTAACCACTATACTACCTGGCTGGCGCTATCTGTGCAAGCTTTGAAGGGAAGTTCTTTCCTCCCTAAGTTCTCTCCCTGGCCAAGGTGTCTGTCTCAGTGGCCCCATATCTATTTGTCCTCTCAGCCTCCAGAGAAGGAGGGAGGCCTGCCGCGGCAGGTGGGTAACAAGACCGAGTGTGCCCTGCTGGGCTTCGTCACTGACCTGAAGCAGGACTACCAGGCAGTGCGCAACGAGGTGCCTGAAGAGAAGCTCTACAAGGTGTACACCTTCAACTCGGTGCGCAAGTCAATGAGCACGGTCATCAAGAAGCCCAGCGGCGGCTTCCGCATGTACAGCAAGGGCGCCTCTGAGATCATCCTGCGCAAGTGAGAGCCTTCCCCTCTCTTCTCTTCCCTTCAAGATCTTCCCCTTAGGAAGGTCAGGGCGACATACCTTGTTCTGAGCCAATTCCAGAGAGGAACAAGTCCTCCAGCCAGCTGGTAACAAAGTAATTGACATCCAAGTATTTCCTCAGGCCAAGCATTGCTTTTTTGTTTTTGTTTGGCTTTTTTGAGGTTTTGATCTTAGGGCATGTGCTCGGGAGTGGGGGTAAGGGGAAGGACAGGGAACAGTGAGAGAGAGAGAAATCACACCCCCCCCGGGGGGATGGGGAATGGCCATGCCGCAATCCCTCCTCTATTCTCCTCCCAGGATCTTGGGCACGCACACACATCTGGTGTGATTTTCTGTTTGTTTTGTTTTGTTTTAAAGAATTATTTTATTTAACTTTACTCTTCATTTATGTATTTATTTATTTTAATTTGACCAGAGAGAGAGAGAGAGAGAGAGGGAAAGTGAAAAAGCAAACCACCAGGGAGGGATTCAAAGCATGGTCAGCCATGTAGGAGTCCAGTGCCCTTAACCATCATGCCATCTGCTGCTCACCCTCCTCCGTCTGATTTTCAAGCCACCAGGTCCAGGACTAAAACTGCAGTCCATGCACATGTGTACACCTGGCACATTTTTCAAGCCACCGGGACTGGGATTCAGACTGCATTCAGCCACGTGGGGTGCACCTCTCTTAACCACTATACTACCTGGCTGGCGCTATCTGTGCAAGCTTTGAAGGGAAGTTCTTTCCTCCCTAAGTTCTCTCCCTGGCCAAGGTGTCTGTCTCAGTGGCCCCATATCTATTTGTCCTCTCAGCCTCCAGAGAAGGAGGGAGGCCTGCCGCGGCAGGTGGGTAACAAGACCGAGTGTGCCCTGCTGGGCTTCGTCACTGACCTGAAGCAGGACTACCAGGCAGTGCGCAACGAGGTGCCTGAAGAGAAGCTCTACAAGGTGTACACCTTCAACTCGGTGCGCAAGTCAATGAGCACGGTCATCAAGAAGCCCAGCGGCGGCTTCCGCATGTACAGCAAGGGCGCCTCTGAGATCATCCTGCGCAAGTGAGAGCCTTCCCCTCTCTTCTCTTCCCTTCAAGATCTTCCCCTTAGGAAGGTCAGGGCGACATACCTTGTTCTGAGCCAATTCCAGAGAGGAACAAGTCCTCCAGCCAGCTGGTAACAAAGTAATTGACATCCAAGTATTTCCTCAGGCCAAGCATTGCTTTTTTGTTTTTGTTTGGCTTTTTTGAGGTTTTGATCTTAGGGCATGTGCTCGGGAGTGGGGGTAAGGGGAAGGACAGGGAACAGTGAGAGAGAGAGAAATCACACCCCCCCCGGGGGGATGGGGAATGGCCATGCCGCAATCCCTCCTCTATTCTCCTCCCAGGATCTTGGGCACGCACACACATCTGGTGTGATTTTCTGTTTGTTTTGTTTTGTTTTAAAGAATTATTTTATTTAACTTTACTCTTCATTTATGTATTTATTTATTTTAATTTGACCAGAGAGAGAGAGAGAGAGAGAGGGAAAGTGAAAAAGCAAACCACCAGGGAGGGATTCAAAGCATGGTCAGCCATGTAGGAGTCCAGTGCCCTTAACCATCATGCCATCTGCTGCTCACCCTCCTCCGTCTGATTTTCAAGCCACCAGGTCCAGGACTAAAACTGCAGTCAGCCATGTGGGAGTCCAGCAATGTAACCAATACACCATCTGCTGGCCCTACCAAGCATTGTTTTTAATAAGCTATTTTAGGTGGCTCATTTTATTTAATCCTCCCAACTCAGTAAGGTGGGTGCTATCATTATGCCTATTTTACAGAGGGGAAACAGAGGTACAGGAAGTTAAGTAATTTGCTCAAGGAAGTGCAGCTAATAGCACTGCCGGGATTCAGACCTAGATGATCTAAATGTCCATTTCCTAATCTGAAAACAGAGTAACACTTACCTACCTCAGTAATGCCACCCACCTTGCTGTGATGAAATGATTCAGCGTACCCAGAGTGCCTTGCACGCGGCAGGTACTAGCAATGTGAGTTCTCTGTTCCCCTCCTTCCCATTCTCAGTTCTGATTCCAGAGCTACTTGACAAATGGCTAGACTACCCACAGGCATTAAAGGCTGACCCTACTTGGATACAGGGCCACTGGGACTGAATTAACCAGTACCCTAACTCAGCTTGGGCCACCTTCTTTCATTCAACACCTTCTTTAGCACCTGCTATGTATAGAGCACTATTCTAGATACTGGGGATTGAGAAAGTCTCTCCGCCTTCCAGAAGTTCGAAAGAGCAGGTGATCCACCAGTGACCAGGTGTTGCATTCCCATGGGGAAGGACAGACGATGCGGGAGAACCACTCTCTCTGCCTACCTAGACCGTGCTCTGTCCCCAGGCCACTCCACCTGGGAAGGGTAGATTCAGCTGGGCAATGGATGATGGAGACGTGTGGCCATGGAACAGCATCTGCGGGAACAGCACAGAGCTGCCCAAATGTATGTGGGTGGTCATAGACGTATACCCAGAGGGGAGGGAGACGCTGCTTTCTGATGCCTCCCTAGGTGTAATCGGATCCTGGACCAGAAAGGGGAAGCATTGCCATTCAAGAATAAGGACCGCGATGACATGGTGCGCACCGTCATCGAGCCCATGGCCTCCGAGGGGCTGCGGACCATCTGCATAGCGTACCGGGATTTCGACGATGCAGAGCCCTCGTGGGACAATGAGACTGAGATCCTCACTCAGCTGACCTGCATCGCCGTGGTGGGCATCGAGGATCCCGTGCGCCCAGAGGTGAGGCTTTGGCTTGGAGAGAAGGCAGGAAAACATGAAGGGCAGTCCTCCAGTGGCCCTGGCCGAAGGTGAGGCCCGGAATGGCCTGTCAGTCAGCCACCAGGAGGCACAGACATGCCGTACTAGCTCCTTTTCTAGTTACAACCCCAGGCAAGTTACCTAGCAGCGTCCCACACAGACAGGTGCTGCTGTGCGTCTTCCTTCATGGACTCCTGTGGGGTGCCGAGCTGCTGGAAGGGGCCGTTCCCAGGGCTAATGCTTTCTGAGTGGGAAGATTTATTAGAGTTAGCATTTGGTGCTTAAGAGTCAGGAGACAGAATGAACCAGGATACCAACTTTGTCTTTAGCCACTTTCCTTCAATGTCGCATTCTTCTGGAGCACTCCAATGTGGTGAACGCTATTCTAGACACTAGGGGTCAGAGAAGCCTGCTGGGAGATGTTCAGACAGGTGGACTACCCATTGTCGAGGCCCAGAGGCTGGAGATGGTGCCATGCGTTTGGGCAACTACAAAGAGCTGACACTGTTGGCGCATAGGCCAGTGGCCCAGGTTTGTGAGAAGACGTGGACTGGACATGGCGCAGACCAGCACTGCTAGTGAGGAAGGCAGTGGCCAGGCTCAGAGGGCTGTGTGCACTCCTGCCTCAGGGTCTGGGTTGTAAGTGGAGAGCGAGCTTTGCACCTGACTCCCTGGGCAGACGTGCTTTCCCCGATTCCTGGCACCTCGGGCGCACTCAGCGTTCTGTTGTGAGGACAGAATGAGGCGACACCACGCAATGTCAAAATGGCCAGACTCACCCCTTGCCCGGTGGCACTGCTTCCTGGGTACCTCTCTCCTATCCACAGTGAAGGGGCAAGCGGGGCGACTTACCAGGTTACATCCCCTCCTCCATCTCTACCACTTTTCCTTCTGTCCCCTCCATAGGTACCAGAAGCGATTGCCAAATGTAAACGAGCTGGCATTACTGTCAGAATGGTGACGGGTGACAACGTCAACACAGCCCGGGCCATCGCCACCAAATGTGGCATTCTGACACCTGGTGAAGACTTTCTGTGCTTAGAAGGCAAAGAATTCAACCGACTGATCCGCAATGAGAAAGGCGAGGTGTGTCCCGGGTGGGAGGAGCCAGGTCCTCACTTGACCGGGCAGGGCCGGCTCTAGCCTAAGCCATCTGGGAGAAGGCAGGTGGTTGCTAAATGCGAATCTATCTTTCTAACACTGCTCAGGTGGAGAAATCAGGAGCTGTCTTTCTTCTCGTCTTCATTCACAAGCTATCTTTTGGGACAGTGACACTCACTTCCTGTCTTTCCTCCTCTCCTGTCATGGGATGGTTTTATCCTGATCTCCTCCACCCAGTCCCTCCAATGACACTGCCCTGTGACTGACTGCGGCCTAACACCTGAGAGGCACCACGTTAGCAGCCTGAGCCAACAGCTCTAAGGGGTGGGGGATTGGAAGGGAAAAGGAGGCAAGTAGGACCGAATGGTCACTGTCAATGAAGCCCCCCGGGAGCCCGACTGGGCTATTTCTCCTCCAGGCCACGAGTCAGTCCTGTGGGGCTTGTGGTACCGGACCTCCCCAAAGCTCAGAGTGTGTGCAGAAGTCAGATCTTCAGGGTGGTGTTCTGAGTCTGACTGATCCGGATCTGTCTGGTGTCGGCAGGTGGAGCAAGAAAAGCTGGACAAGATCTGGCCTAAGCTCCGGGTCCTAGCACGATCGTCCCCCACGGACAAGCACACGCTGGTGAAAGGTGAGGCAGACTCCTGGTAGATACTTGTGGTAGGTGGAGGCAGGCCAGTACGAGGACAGGTAAGAAGCCTCAGCCGAAACGACCCTCCTGTTCGCATAGGGGAGATCTTAGGAGAGTTCCAGGCTAATGGGTCCTTGGCAAGTAGGACAGGTGATGCAGGTGGTTTGGGTTTGTTCGGTTTGTGTTTGTTTCTTAGCTTTTTACTCTGGGGTACATGTGCTTGCCAGAGAGAGAGAAGGAAGAGAGGGAAGGTGAGAAGTCATCCTCTGGGGTTATGGCCACGCAGCAGTTCCTTTTCCTCCATTTCTCCATCCCGTTGGGATTTGGGGCACACACACACAACGTCTTTTGTGTTCTCCGAGCTGCTGGAGCCAAGATTTGAACTGCAGTCAGCCATGTGGGGTCCAGCTCCCTTAACCAGTAGGCCATGGGTGGTCCTGTCTGTGCTTTTTCCAACACACAACAGCTTCCTCAGGACACCAGATAAGGCCAGACCTTCCAGCTCAGAGCGTTGCCCAGGAGCAATTTACTGCCCTCAGGAGGTTCCTGGAGAACCTCCAGCACAGGAAAGAGGAACGGAAAGAAGAAAGTAGAAGGGAAGGAGTCACAGGGATCGGGGAAGACTGGAAAAGCACCTCATAGGAAACTGAAAACTCGCCACATGGCCTTGGGTGGCACCCAAGTGCCCACCGTGGTGTGCGTCTGTTTTTCCCAGGCATCATCGACAGCACTATCGGGGAACAGCGGCAGGTGGTGGCTGTCACTGGTGATGGCACGAATGATGGGCCCGCTCTGAAGAAAGCAGACGTCGGTTTTGCCATGGTGAGCTCAGCACACTTGCCCTCTCTCACCCCGAGCCGCCTCCTCCAGTAGGAAGCCAGACCTGGCTTCTGGTAACCTGCTGCTCCCTCTCAGGGTTCTCCTGCCAGCCTGGCCAATAGCAATATATATGTTATGATATGAAGAATGCATGACAGAGGCAGGGAAAGTATGAAGTTTCCTTCTTGCAGAAAAGCAAGGCCAGCTTAAACTTGACCATGAACCAAGCCAGCAAAGGGCATGGTGGCTAAGGCACTGGATCTCACATACCCAACTCCATGGTTTGAGTCCCAGATCTAGCAGCTTGAAAAACACACTGGGGATCACTAGATGACATACTGGTTACATCACTGGACTCCCATGTAGTTGATCATGGTTCGAGTCCCGAACCCGGAGGCTTAAAACCAACACCAGGCACATGTCATGCATGCCCAAAATCCTGAGAGGAGAAGGGTCTGTGGCATGGCCAACCCCCTGGGGAGATAGTGTCAATAACTTTTCATGTCTTTCCTCCTCTCCTGTCATGGTATAATTTTATCCTGATCTCCCCCCAACCCCTCCAACGACACTGCCCTGTGACTGTCAGCAGTCCAGGTTTGTAAGAGGATGTGGTCTGGATATAGCACAGACCAACACTTCCCGCTCTGCATGAAAAATCAAACCTAAGACCCGAGAGGCACCACTTTAGCGGCCTGAGCCAACAGCTCTAGGGGGTAGGGGATTGAGAGGGAAAAGAAGGCAAGCAGGACCGAATGGTCACTGTCAATGAAGCCCCCCGGGAGCCCGACTGGGCTATTTCTAATCACCCTGGGCGGGGGGGTGGTTTCTTGCTTTCTGTCTCTGTGTCTCTCTCTAGTAAATATATACACCCTATAGCAAAAATTTCCCCCCAAAAAAAGAAAGACAAAAGAAAACACACAGGGTGCATGTGTGTGCATGCTCAAAATCCCAAGAGAAGAATGGAGGAAAAGGGACTGTAGCGTAGCCATTCCCTCCCAGGATATGCTTTCTCACTTTTCCCCCTTCTCTCTCTCTCTCTCTCTCTCTCTCTCTCTCTATCTTGTGAGCATATACACCCTGTAGCACTATTTTTTAAGTTTTTATTTTAGAAAATTTCAAGAATATACAAAAGTGTTAGTGCAAGCAACCTGCATTGACAGCAGCGGATGCTGAGGCAGAGGGGGCAGCTGCAACCACAAGTCCACCTGTGACCTACCCCAGCCCCTACCTGGCTGCGCAGGGCCTTACCAAGCCCATGGGCAGTGGAGCCGCGTGGGCGCCCTGAGTGTGCTGTGGGTCCTCAGTGCACCCCAGAGTCCAGTGTGGGCGAGAACTCAGCACCTGCTCCAGCTTCTACTCAGATGCCGTATTCCACACCTCACTCAAGTGGTGCTCTTGGAACTCCACTGGAACAGCAGTAGCCTTTAACTCCTTGAGTGCGGGCATCAGCTCAGGCCCCATGCTGTTCCCAAGCAGCATGGTCACTGGAAAGGTGCCCTCCACCTTCACATCCTTGATCTGGCTGCCTGTGGGAGTGTGCACTGTGGCTGAAGTACCTACACCTCTCTATAACTCAGGGTTCGGGGTAGAGACCTGCAGCTGGGTCAGCTAGCAGACACCACTCATCATCGCCACGTTCTCCTCAGAAAGACATGGAAAGTTACAGAAAGAGAGTATTCTTGAAACTCCATCTTCTCGACTCCTGAAATATTCAAACAAGAAGCCATTTTAAAGCTGAGGTATGTCCTGGCCTGTTCAGAGAAGCTATGCTCTAAACTCCGTCTTCTAGACTCCCAAAATATTCAGACGAACACAGTAGAGGAGAGATTTTGTCACAGAATGACCAGAAACCACCGCAGAGGCACAAGAAACATGAGAAACTAAGAAAATGTCTCTCCCCTAAGGGAAAGGAATGATCCCTCATCATCCACAGACAGTCCAGTAGAACTCGTGGAAATGTCTAGTAGAGAATTCAGAATATTCATAGTGACAACACTAAATGAGATGCAAGAGCTGAGAGGTAATGAACTCCAGAAGATGCAGAAGAAAAGAGACAACGAGTTCCAGGAGGTGTTGAAGTTCTTCCATGATCTGAAAGAGGAAATACACACCATAAAAAAGAATCAAATGCAGCTATTAGAGATGAAGGCTGCCATTCAGGAAATCAAAACCTCCCTTGAAAGTATTAAAAGCAGCTTAGTCCATGCAGAAAATCAAATCTTGGATGTTGAAGGCAAAATCTCTGATCTAGAAAAAAATAACCCAAAAACCTGAGAAAGTAACTCCAAAAAATGAGAATACTATATGAGAAATACAAGACAGCATTAAGCACCCAAACATCTGGATAACTGGTAACCCAGAAGGTGAGGAAACTAATAAGGGCATTGATAATTATTTCATGAAATCTTGGAAGAAAACTTTCCAAATCTAGAGAGGCATTCAAATATCCAAACCCAAGAAATACAAAGGACCCCACATAGAATCAACCCAAGAAGATCTTCTCCAAGGCACATCATAGCCTGACTGGCCAAATCTACAGAGACAAGATACTAAAATTGGCAAGAGAGAAACATCAGGTTACTTATAAAGATTATCCAGTCAGGCTAACCTCAGACCTCTCATCAGAAACAATGCGAGGAAGGAAAGAATGGGAAAATATATTCAAAGTATTAAGTGAAATACAGTTTCAACCAAGTATACTATACCCGGCAAGATTATCCTTCATATGGAAAGAAAAGATAAAAACATTCTCAGATAAACAAGACCTGAAAGAATTTGCCAATAGCACACCCACTCTTCAAGAAGTTCTGAAAGAGTGCTCTACCAGGAAAACTAAAGACACACACAGAAATAAGAGAACAAAAGGCAACTAAGAAAATTTAATGCTAGGAACAAGAAATATCAATAATAATGTTGAATGTTACCCTCCAGGATTTAAACGGAAAGATTAGACTGCATATTCAACAAAAGAAAATTTGAACACATGACTGAACTGGCGAAATAGAATTTTATGACTTTTGAGTAAACTGGCGAAATAGAATTTTATGACTTTTGAGTAATTTATACTCAGTCAGGGCCTTTTTTTTTTTTTTTTTTGTAGGTTTTTGCCATTTGGCACATTCGCTTGCTAGAGAGAAACAGAGAGCAAAAATGAGAAATCATCCCTACTGATTTCTTTTTTTTAAACTATGCTTTGTTTTCCCAATTTAAACATTTTACTTTCTTTTGAGTTGTTGATAGGTTCAGCAACTTTTTTCTTTAAATGGGAACATAAACTTTTCTTCCTTCCTGACCCCTCTTGAATTGGAAGTATTTGAGAGTATTCTTATTTTGTGGCAGAAGAGTTATTTGCATAAGTTCAATAATGCTCGTTGCATTGAATCAGAAATTGGAATCCTCATTAGTAGACAGGGAATGTCAGATCTGAAGATTAATTGGAAAACTATGGAACTAATGTGAATCTCAAGTAAGGATATATGAAAGAATTTATAACATAAAATAACCTGGATTTTTCCAGCCCTGCATTGTAGTCAGTAGAGATTGCAAAAGAGCAACCTTCCAGAGGATTATCTTGAGAAAGACTATGAAGGAAGAAAAAGAGACTGATCTTTGCTAGCAGATGGTACATCACAGAATACTTGGTAGGCGGGGCGGAACTGAGAAGGTTGATGAGTGACTCGTGTGCTGGGCATTTGCTTTTCAACAAGTTGAGTAGTTGACATGTAAATATTTTCTCAAAAATATTTAAAAGCATGCTGTCTCTGTTGTTATAGAGTCACAAACAAAATTACACAAAATTGTAAGAAATATTTTGAACATTATCTTTAAAATTCATTATTTTGAGATTTTGAAAGTTGTTTATTAACCGTCAAGAACTATGGAGTATGAGCAAAAAAATTTTTGATATGTAAAGTAAATGTTTGTGGGAAATGTAAAAATAAATAAATAAATGAAAAAAGAAAAAAAAAAGAATATACAAAAGTAGGGGGACTCATACAACAAACCCCATGAACCTCTCACTCTGCTTCAAGTTATCCATACTATCCTGTGCCTATCCTGTTTCTCTGACTGCCTTCCACCCACTTCTCCCTTCTCCAGCTGAATTATTTTGAAGCCAATCCAAAACATCATATCATTTCATCCATTAGAATTTCAGTGCCTATCTCTAAGTGATAAGTGTGTATCAATAAAATGGAGCTGAAAGATTCATGACACCATTGTCGCAAAACAAAATTGATGATTCCACGCTGTCATCACATACCTAGTCGGTGTTCACATCTCCGCAATTGCCACACGAATATTTGTATAGTTTATTTGTCCAAATCAGGATGCGAATGAGACCCGTGTGTTGCGATGGTTGGCTACGTCTCCAACTCTCTTGATCTGTAGCTGTGATTCCTGGAGGTGCTCCTGTTCCAGCTGTTCCAGCTGTTCCAGCAGGACCTGGAATGTATGGAAATGCAGAGTCTCAGGCCTCCCCAGATCGACTGAGTCAGAAACCCTGGAGTTGAGACCCAGTAACCAGTGTTTTAACAAGCCCGTAGTGATTACAGTGCACCCGCAAGTTTGGGAACCACTGATAGGATAAGATCCCTATGTCAGGGTCCCCAGAACCACCCTTCTATTCATCAGTTCATTACAAAGACTCATGGGATTTGTATACACTTGTACTCAGACATGAGATTTATTGCAGGAATGTGGAAGGAGACGGTCGGATTATAAGAAAGACACTGGAAGAATCTGATTGAATCTACTTGTGCCTTCCTTGTGCTCTCTCTCCCATAAGGAGTCACACAGAGTCTGTCCTTACCCTGTTTGCAAAAATGTTACACAGGCAAGAAGTTTCTGCCCAGGGAAACCCTTCACAGACTGAGCACCCAGGGTTGTTTGGGGGCGCATTATGTGAGCACCTCCTGCCTAGCACATACCCAAATCTCATCCTTTCCCAGAAGGAAAGCAGCCATCCAACCAGATTGCTTGGACACAGTCTAGACAATGAACCACCCCGATGAGTTAATTGTTGCCTGGGAGCAAGTTGTGACCGCGAAGGGCCCGAAAGTGGGCAGAGGGTCTGGCTAGCAGACCTTTCTGTGGACGGCAGTCTCAGGCCTGCTACGTCAATTCCTTTCTGCACAATCCCTTTCCATCTTCTTTTCTTTCCTCGTTTTGAAGGAAACAGGTGGTTTGTTCATGTGGACTATCCCCCAGTGTGGGTTTGTTAATTACATCCCTGTAATGTCCTTCCAATGTTCTTTTGTTCCTTGCATTTCCTGTAAACAAGCAGGTAGTTCTAGAAGCAGTCAGGGTCTAGATTCCTTCTTTCTGCAAAATGACAGTATAATATATATATATATATATATATATATACACACATATATATACACACATATATATATTTAATTATTAACTTAAAAAGAAACTTCCTGGGCTCAGCCATGAGGGTACACACTGCTAAGATGATGCAGGTTGTCTCCACGTAAGATGCCTGGATTCAGTTCCTTGCCCAACTTAATGGACAGAGACAGTGATATGCACGTGTAACTCCTTCCACTTGGGAGGCTGAGGCAAGAGACTAGGCCCTATAAATAGGATTTAAATATGGGGGGAGGATGTTTCAGACTTGGGGGAAAGGTAAGGTTAGGAGTCTAGACTCTGGAAGTAAATGAGAGCTTCAGGGGGTTGTGAATAACCCAGAAGGTTCGAGCAGAAAGATTACGCAGGTACAAGTTGGAAAGTGAATCAGGGTGCGCTGATTGAGAGCACTGACCCCCAGTCCAGGAAGCTAGCCATTTCCCAAGCACAACTTTCAGCCATTGATACTTCTATTCAGAAACCTTCATGCTTCCTCAGTGACAGGCTTTGGAACAAGACTAGATGTGTACACTGTCCTGCCCGACTAATCCTACAGAACACAACCCAGGGTTTCTCAAAGATACGGAGGAAACAGGCTCAAATGAGATACTGGCAATGACAAAAAGAAGAAGAAATAGAGGAATTTGGAGGTGGAATAGATTGGACTTGTTCCCTAGCTTTCTAAGTTGTGTTCAAGAGGAAGGTGGTGGCATCGGTTCCCAGCTCCCTGCTCTGGAGAGTGACAACCACACCGGTTCTGTTTTTTTGTGTGTGGCTGGCGCGCCCTCTAGTGTTTACACCTTGTCCTGAAGCTTCTTGGGGGTCAGAAGCAGGAAAGTTTTCCTCTATCCTGCTCCTTATTCTTTCCCTTCTTCCCACAGGGCATTGCAGGCACAGATGTAGCTAAGGAGGCGTCGGACATCATCCTGACAGACGACAACTTCACCAGCATCGTGAAGGCGGTGATGTGGGGACGCAACGTCTATGACAGCATCTCTAAGTTCCTGCAGTTCCAGCTCACGGTCAACGTGGTGGCTGTGATTGTGGCCTTCACTGGAGCCTGTATCACACAGGTGACGGAGGGTGGGGCGGGGGCTTCCCCAGTGATATGGGAGCAGGAGTCAGCTCTGCTCGGTCCACCGTGTCCATCCGTGTGTGTGCAACGACAGTAATTCGCCCACCACTAAGTTAGCACCGTGTCCCCGCACTGTGACGAGTGTTTGTACATATGACTCCCATCTTTATTCTGCAGAACAGCCTCGCGAGGTAGGGACTAATGTCCCCATCTTAAAGGCGAGGAATCCCAGGCTAAAAGAGGTTAAGGAACTTTCTCCAGAAAGTGACCAGCTTCAAAGTCTAGGCAGACAGTGGGAGTTAGGCCACCTCGAGGGCAAAGGTGAGGCCGGGTCATGAGGTGGGAAAGCTAAAAGGCCTGGTTCTTCTTCCTTCCAGGATTCCCCACTGAAAGCCGTGCAGATGCTGTGGGTCAATCTAATCATGGACACGTTTGCTTCCTTGGCCCTGGCCACGGAGCCGCCTACGGATGCCCTGTTGAGGCGGCGCCCCTACGGCCGAAATAAGCCTCTGATCTCACGCACCATGATGAAGAACATCTTGGGCCATGCGGTCTATCAGCTCACTGTCATCTTTACCCTAGTCTTTGCCGGTGAGCCCCAGGTGGGGGTCGGGGCGCTAGATGAGACGGGGACAGAGGATGGCTAAGGAAAGGAGGCGGTGTAAAAGGAGGCCAGGAGTGAAGCCGCGCACTCGCTGAGGGCTTCCCGAGCCACCCTGCCTGGGGCTTTGCTGTTTTACGCGCTCCTTTTAAGACTCTACAGGGTGGCTTGGCTGGTTTGGGGCCTCTTTAAATACCCTTTTTTGGGTTATTTATTTCTCCCTTCCATGAGAGAGGGCTAGAAACGGGCACCCCCAACAGGGTCCTCATACTGTGATCTGCCCCAGATTCGGCCAGTCTGGACCATGAGTGCACACACATGCACACACACGTGTACACACGCATATGTGCACCATGTACAGGTGGCTCCCGAAAGTGGATCCAGGACTTTTCCCTGTGGGTTTACTCGTTTTATCACTGAACCACTTTCTCCTGACTCCCTTTAAGTATTTTTTAAGTACATTGTTTAAAAAGAATTATTTTATTTAGCTTTATTAATTTATTTTTATTTGATCAGAGGGACAGAGCAAGAGAGAGAGAAAAAGTAAGAAAGCAAGCTGCCAGATCCAGGACTTGAACCGCAGTCGGCTATGTGGGAGTCCAGCGCCCTTAGCCACCACACCATCTGCCGGCCCCTTAAGTACATTTTTTTAAAAGCTTATTTTACTCATGACAGAGAGTCCATGCACACTTGAGAGAGGAGAGAGAGAGAGAGAGAGAGAGAGAGAGAGGTGTGCTCGACAGGGTCTCACCACACCATGTGCCCCCCCACCTGCCCTCCATCCAGCTCATCATGATTCTTTATTTTTCCTTTTTAAACTTTTGCCATAGAGTGTGTGAGCTCACCAGAGAAAGACAGAGACAGAGAGAGAGAGACACTTTTTTCCTAAAGATGAGAAAAATGACGTTCGGGTCACGTAATGAGTAACTGTTAGCACTAACGTCACAGCAGTGCCGTGTGACGCCAGTGCACAGCCTTCTAATCATGCTCCACTGCAGGAGTGCAAACCTCAGTGCAGCAAACCGAGAGGGGGTCAGGTAAGCGGAGACCAGGGCAAACTGACATTTCAAACGTCTGATCAACAGTATAGGTCCGAGCCTGGCAACCAGTATGGCCCTACCAGGTCTGCCTCCAAGTTTAGGCCGCGTTGACCCTCCAATGCTTCTCTCCCCACTAGGTGAGAAGTTCTTTGACATCGACAGTGGGCGGAAGGCACCTCTGCACTCACCGCCCACCCAGCACTACACCATAGTTTTCAACACCTTTGTACTGATGCAGCTCTTCAATGAAATTAACTCCCGAAAGATCCACGGGGAGAAGAACGTCTTTTCAGGCATCTACCACAACATCATCTTCTGCTCTGTAGTCTTGGGCACGTTCATTTGCCAGGTGAGAGTCTAGCTGGGGCTGGAATAGGAGGTCTGTGATGGTGAAAGCCTCAGCTGGGAGCCAGCATTGCCTAACGGCCCAGGAAATGGCTTGAGAGCATAACGGGCATCCACAGGGTGGGTGGACGCCTTGGGGCTCCCAGTTTGCTTCTGTGTATACATCACTTTAGGACCAGAACCCAGTGTATCAGGTACCCTGGGGTAAGGCAGCGTGTTGATTACAAATACAACTAATAGAATCCTTTCATTATCTTCCCAAGCACACAGAAATTTCACACAGTGGCCAAGAGGAGAGCCACTGTCATCTACCCCTTTCCTTGCCTCCTGCCAGCCCACACGGATGTGGTGCATGCCGTGCAGGCGCTCCCCGTTCCGAAGGAGCTTGAGCTGCTCCTGTGAGAATGGGGGGTCAAGGCCATATAAGTGTCCTGGTAGTAAAAGGACTGGGCCTCTTCTTCCTGACCCAGTCAGAAGTGCACTCCAGCATCTCCGTACGAGATTCTGAGCTTCCCCATAACAGAAGAGTTGCCTCATCCCTCAGCAGGGCCCCTCCCTCATTTGCCCCCATCCTCAGTTCCTCTTCTCCATCACTGTGGCTTGTCTGATTCACCCACTAACTCTAGTCACAGGATGCCCCCAGGCCCCCCCACTTTCCTGGTTTTCTGTTACTCATACTCACAGTAACCATCTTCCCATCAGAGTGCTCTGGGAAGACTCTGTCTTCCCTTCTCCCTCCTAGACTTATTCTTTCCCTGCAAGCAATTGAGGTCTTGAAACACCAGGATCCTAGGGAAGGGGGTGACCGGGCTTTGCTGACCATGGCTGGAGGACTAGCAACCAGTTAGTCACCAACTTGATGGACTGCCCCTTCATCTCTTCTAGATTCTCATTGTGGAGTTTGGGGGCAAACCCTTCAGTTGTACACAGCTCAACCTGGCCCAGTGGCTGTGGTGTCTCTTCATCGCAATTGGAGAACTTCTCTGGGGCCAGGTGAGTGCTCTCCTGCCCTCCCCATGCACTCACACAGCCTGCAGAACTCCTGTGATCCGCATGAGATGGAGCAGCAGCTGCGGAGACTACCCACACCTCACCTTCGTCCCCACCTCCCCATCTCCCATCCAAGGGTTCCAATTCTTTCTGTCCCACAGGACCCAAAGGTGGAATGACCTGTGCCCACCACTTCGGGGGTTCAGATTTCTTCTCTAAATACACCTGGAGAAGGGTTGATCTCTTTAGCTTTCTGAGATGCAAGTGGAGCTTCTCCATTTTTGCTAAAGACAAAACAAAAAAAATTAAATCATAGAAGACATTACAAAGCACATGTCTTTATTCTAATGAAGCAGCAGTCTGATGGACCTCTGTGACGACATAATTCAGGGCTCCCAGCCTCCTCTGTGACCAGGGCTTACTGGGTTGAATGTCCGACTCTCGCTTCAGATAAATTCAAATTTACAAGCTCTCTAGACAAGCAGTATAGAATATGGTTCAGAGCATGGGCTCTGAGAATGACTGTCTGGGTTGGAATCCTTTTATAAGCTGATTGATCTTGGGCACATTACTCAACCACTCTGCCTCAGTGTTCTCAATGTGGAATAACAGGGTCATTGTTAATCATTATTTTTTATTTTGTTTTGGTTTTTTAGAGAGCTTTTTGCTATAGGCAGCATGTACTCACTGGAGAAACAGAAAGAGACAGAAAGCAAGAAATCACCCCCAGAGGTGGCGGCCATGCTACAATCCCTTCTCCGTTCTTTTCTTGGCATCTTGGGTACACATGCACTCGCGTCCAGCATAAGTTTTAAGCCGCCAGGTCCGGGACTCAAACAGTGGTTGACTATATGAGAGTCCAGCGACATAACAATTACACCATCTGTTAGTCCCGTTGTTAATCATTATTAATCAGTAAACTAGTTGCTATACAGAAAAGACTTAGAATGATGTCTACTGCCATGTAAGTACTCGGTAAATTAATGTTAATATTACTTGTAATAATATCGTCCAGTCTGGTAACAGTTTCACTCCTCTCCTAATATCACTTGTGAGTGCCCCTCAGCCCCTGGTCTCTGCTGACAGCCCCTTAGTGCACGGCCACCTGGGTAATGGGGACTTTGTCCTAAATCACCACCAAAAAGCCCTCTCCAGGACTGCAAGCATTTCCCCAGACCTGTTCCTCATTTCTCTCTTACCCACCTCCTGGATGGCTCCTGGTTAATCCTGTCGTGATTCTCAACACCCTGTTCTACTTACCAAAATCTACTTACCTGGGGGTCCCTGAAGCAGCTCTACACTTGGGCAGAGCTAGGTGTTCTACCTGCCATTTGACAGTCTCTTCTGGGTCTGGTCTCCCACGTGGCCATTGCCCTCAATGCAGGATAACAGCCTTTCTTCTGTATCACAGTAGCTCCTTCCAACATCCGGAAGTGGAGCTCTGACGTTCTTAACCATGTCAAACACTGGACTCCATGCGGGCTTTCCCAGACAGTCCCCCCTTCCACCAGAGCCCTGTCTACTCCCCACTTACCAGAAAAGGAGAATTGGCCAACATCTACTGAGCTCACCAAGTACTTGTTTTGAATTTCTAGCCCAACCTACTGCTTTACAGCTTCAGACCATACTCAGGTGTCCCTGCTTCCATGGCCTGTCCACCACATCCTCACCCCAAGCCCAAGAAAGCTTTCAGTGTCCTTTCACTAGAGTTTTAGAACGCGACAGATACTTTGCGTGTGGCCACTGAGAAGGGCTTGTCTTCTCCCGCCTCTCATCTGCACAGGTTTTTCCCCTCTAGTTCCTGGTTTCAGTCCCATCCTACTGCGGACCATGCATTATGGTTCTGCTTCTCTTAAAAGACAGATAGCCAAAGGTAAAGGAAGAACTGAGACAGAAGGAGGGCTCTGAGACCAGGCCGATGGCAGGTAGATTACTAGAATATGAATTTGCCTTCGTATGTCTGTACACAGAGAATGCTCCTGAGAGCCTGGCAGCTGGTGGGCCCTCCAAGTGGGAAGAGTGAAGAGGGCAGAGGAACCTACCCAAGGGCCTGACCTTCTCCGTACTCCAATTCTGATGTCTCCCCTCACATTGCACCTGTTCCCAGGTCATCTCTGCAATCCCTACCCAGTCTCTGAAGTTCCTGAAGGAGGCTGGGCACGGCACCGCCAAAGAGGAGATCACCAAGGACGCCGAGGGGTTGGACGAGATTGACCATGCGGAGATGGAGCTGCGCCGAGGCCAGATCCTCTGGTTCCGGGGCCTGAACCGCATCCAGACTCAGGTACTCTGATAAGAGCCTGTCATTACCCTGGGAGAAGAAGCCTCTCCATCCTGGGAGGTGTTGAGGGGGCAGCATTCCTGGTGGCCAGCCTCTCTGCCCTTCCTAAGACTGCCCATTAATGGGCAGCCTTAGCTCCCCAGCTTCAGGGCAGATGTGGGCAGAGGTGTCTGCAGAGGCTTCTCTGAGAAGAGAATAGTGCAGGGACTCGACCATAGGACACTCTTAGCTGAGACAGTTAGCTCTGTGCTGGCTCAGAAGCCCACTCTCCCGCCTTCTGTTGGGTGGGCAAGCTTCCTATGTAAGGTCTCCTGCAAGATGAGACCTGACCCCACAGTGGGAAGTCCTCAGCCGTTCCCTGCCCATCAGAAGGAAGAAGTTGGGCAACTCTACGCCACCATCCTCAACTGGCACTTACTGAGTTTCCTCATGCTGCCATGATGCTAAAATTGGGTTGTCAAAAAAGTCATGACACATTTTTGCATAGAAAAACATCAGTAGAAAAAATGTCATGACTTTTCTGACAATCCAACAAATATTACGGGGGAGGAATCTTCATTTAAAAAAAAAAATCATCCTCTTACGTCTTCCCCACCCAAAATTGAAGTCCACAGTGGGGAATCTGATGGTTAAGTGGATATAAACAAGTCTTTCGGTGCCTGAGTATCTTTTGCAGGATTCAGACTTGCTTCCCGAAAAGGAAGAAGCTACGCTTTCTTCAAACCTTTTCCCTTCTTGCAATCTGTGAACGGGACAGAAGCGGCCCCTGCTGCTCCCACACTGTCGGCCTGCAGTAACTGTTTTCCCATTGCCCACCCATCGATTGTTACTACCTTCTCCTGGGTGGATGGGTGGGTCTGGGCTTTAATAACTCTTTTCCCCACCCCCCGCATACCTTTATTGTTTTAATCCCAAGATTCCCCATCTCAAGACACTAAATTCCAAGATCTCCAGCGTACTCTCCAGAGAACAGGCGTATTTCTGCTGATTGGCTGGAGATCCCCAACACATTTCACTCGCTAAAATTGGCCTTGCAGATGGATTTGAACATTCCCTGGTCAGCTCTGCCTCCTCAGTGCATAGGAGAGTATAGGTGAAATGACTATTCAAAACCACGTATCTGGTAAGAGCTTGTCTCGTGTGGGCAAGAAAACAGACAGAAAAGTGGAAGAGAAGACTTAGGTGGGGACACTGGGGCTCCTTTCTCTTTTCTCGAGTTCCTCCTCCCAGAAAGGGAAATCCAGTGAGACCTACACAAACACCCAAAGTTCCCATGCCCCATCCCCCGCCCCACCTCATGCTGCTGAGGCCACCCTGTCCCTATAGGACCTGGTGCCCGTGGCTCCCGTCTCTAAAGCCCCCAGTGCTTACCTTCAGGCCTGTTCTTTTCAAAATAACCTATCTTTGCTTTTCTTCCCCTCAGGATCATCTGCCTCCTCTTCTACTATGCGTGTGTGTGTTTTTATTTTTTTCCTAGCCAGGATTCCCTCATTCCAGCTCCTCCTCACTCCTTGCCCATCTTCCCTCTGGGGGTGCTGAGACTCATGGGTCTTCCTCCCTCTCCTCTACCGATTTCCGTTCCCTCCATTCTGCACCTGTCTGCTTTCACTGCCGACAAAGCCTTAGATAAACAGATGACCTTTGAATAATCCTGGGACTTCGAGGGCTGGAGGCACCAAATCCTGCACAGTCGAAAATCTGTGTATACATTTGAAGTTTCTTTCTGTCTTACTTCCATCAGAGAGAATGAGAGACACAGAGGGAAATAAAAAGAGACAGAGCAGGTCCTCAAACCATCTCAGCTGACCCTGGTCATGGGCACACACGGGCCCAGCATGCTCAGGGAGTTCCTGGATGCAAACCCAGGATCCTTCCTATGTGGGTCCAGTTATGTTACTACTGACCCCACCTGGCCCTGCATGTAACTTTCAGCTCCTCAAAACCTAACTACTAGTCGCCTACTATTGACCAGAAGTTTTACCAATAACATAAACAGTCGATAAATAAATATATATGTGTGTGTGTATATGTACATATACATATGTGTGTGTGTATATGTATATATATATATATATACATATACACACACACTTTATAAGAGATATTTTTGCTATAGGGTGCATGTGCTTACTGAAGAGACAGAGAAACAGAAAGTGAGAAATCACCCCCGAGTGGGAATGGCCATACTGTAATCCCTTCTTCTTCATTCTCCTCTTAGGATCTTGGGCACACATGCATACACGCCTGGCATGAGTTTTAATCCGCTGGGTCTGGGACTTGAACCTCAGTTGACTATGTGAGAGTTCAGCAACATAACCATTATATCATCTGCTGTTCCCCATATTTTGTCTCTTATGTTTATTATGTACTGTATTTTATAATAAATAAGCTAGAGAAAACAATGTGTTATGAAGAAAATCATGAGAAATAAAGACCTACATTTACAATATTTGTTGAAAGAAATCCACATATAAGTGGACCCACACAGTTCAAGCCATGCTATTCAAGGTCAGCTGTAGTACCTTTCCCTGTGGGACATGAGGCAGCTGGGCCAGAACAGCGTGAAAGCCTAATCTTTAGGGCTGGCCCCACGGCCTACTGGTTAAGTGAGCTGATCCCACAGGGCCAGCTGAAGTTGGCATCCCAATCCCAGCAGATTGAAAAAGCGTGCCAGCGCCAGGCGCGTGTACGCGCATGCCCAAGATCCCGAGAGGAGAATGGAGGAGAAGGGACTGTGATGCGGCCATTTCCCCCCGGGGGGTGATTTCTCACTTTCTGTCTCTCTGTCTCTTTCTTTCTGGCAAGCGCCACCCTATAGCAAAAACCTCTCCAAAAAAAAACAGAAAAGAAAAGGCATGCCAGGCACAGGTAACGTGCATGCCCAAAATCCCAACAGGGTGGAGAAATGGAGAAGGGATTGGCTCTCCATCTCTCTGGTGAGCACACATACCCTCTAACAATTAAAAAAGAAAGCCTAAACTTTAGCACCAATGGCAACCAGTTCAAGTTACCGTGATGGGCAACGGCCAAATCGGTCCTTTCTGGTGCGCACCTGACTCTGAGCAGAGGAAGCCACTGTGCCAATGAGCATGCCAGATACCCAGGGGCTTCTCATGGCGGCAACTGTTGAGCCTCAGCGGGGTTCCGACAGAACCCCTGCATCTGATTGATGACCCTGTTGTCATTCTCATGCCGATCCTTGGGGTGGAAGGTGTTGCCAAACTTGTCCAACCCTGGTTGGAATTTCCGCTTTCCCTGGTCTAAGCTGTTCTTCCTCTCTCCTTTTTGGGGAGATAACATCACTAGCAAGCAGATGCTTGAGAAACTTAATGGCTAAACTTGTAGGACGTTCAGCCTGGGACCCGGTTTTGTGGATGCTGAGGAAGATGACGCTACAGCCCCTTCTGTCTAACATAAACACTTTCTTCCTGCAGGTTCAGGCTTCTTGGTCCCTTAGAATGGAAACCATAATGTGAGGGAAGAGAGATGTTTTAGCTTGAACTTTGATCAGAAATTGATCCCAAACATTTCATGGCTTCCCAGGAACAACTGTCTAACTCACTAGGTGCTTCCTGGAGAAGCGAAGTCGTATTAATAGGATCACATTTTGAATTCTAGGATCTTCTTGAGAAATTCCCACATTCCTGGACAATTGAGCCTTACTATTAGGCATGTGTGTATTTCTGAGATGATTCTACCAGATCCATAAAGAAATCCCTTTTGATTTGTTCTTTGTTACTTTTAGTCAGTGATAAGGATGTTAGATTTGATTAAATCTGAGGTCCCAGATCAAGACCACCGTTGGTCAGACCGGCCCCATGGCCTGGTAGTTAGGGGAGCTAGATCCTGCGTAGCCTGAATCCTGGACTCAGCGTCCTGAAAAACACACTGGGGCACATGTGTAAGCATCTCCCAAATTCCAGCAGAAGAGAGAAATGGAGGAGAGGGAATTGAAGCATGACCATACCCTTTTGTAAGGGTGCTTTCTCTCCCTCCCTCCCTTTCTCCCTCTGTCTGGCCAGTGTACACAATTAAATATATATGTATATTTTAAAAGATCATTGCTGGGGCCAGCAGGTGGCATTGTGGCTAAGGGCGCTGGACTCCCACATGGGCAACTGCAGTTCAAGTCCTGGACCTGGCAGCTTGCTTTCTTACTTTCCCTCTCTTTCTCACTGTCCCTCTCTGGTCAAATTAAAAATAATTAATTCATTAAAATTAAATAATTGTTTTAAAAAGACCATTGTTGGGCCTGGCAGGTGGTGTGGTGGTTTGAGTCCAGGACCTGGTAGCTTGCCTTCCCACTTTCCCTCTCTCCCTCTCTCTTCTCACTTTCTTTCTCTTTCTCTCAGTCTGTCCCTCTCTGGTCAAATTTAATAAGTAAATAAATAAACAAAATTTTTAAAATATAGAAACATTTTTTAAAAAAAACAAACTATTGTTGGAGACTGACAGATGGCATAGCAGTTACATCACTGGACTCGCACATAGTCAACTGTGGTTCAAATTCTGAATCCTACAGCTTAAAACTCAAACCAGGCATGTGTACACACATGCCCAAAATCCCAAGAGGAGAATGGAGAAGAAGAAATTGCAGCATGGCCATCCTCCTTGGGAGGTGATTTCTCACTTTCTATCTCTCCATCTCTCCATCTCTCAGGAGAGCACTTACATCCTAGAGCAAAAATCTCTCTTATTAAAAAAAAAAAAAAAAAAAGGCCATTGCTGGATTGATGAAAAATGAATGGCATTAATTACCTCTGTCTCTGAGAAGAAGCACACTGAAAACCAGAGCCTGCTTGCATAGGTCTAGTGTTGCACCTGCTCACCACTGCCATCACTCTGTGGCTCTCCCAAGCAGTCTCACTGCTGAGTTACCGTCAGCGTTTCTGCCAGACATCTCAGGATCTCAGGGCATTAGTGTAGCTACTGGCATTCTCTCTGTTGGGGCTGGCCACCGACATCCTGAGCTCTGTTCTCAAGGGCCCTGTTCACATTGGCCCGCGGAAAGGGTATCTCAGAGAAGATGCCCAGAAGAGGATGAGCCCCAGCACATGGTCTAAATGCCTTCCCACTTTGGCTACCTATGTATGGGCTACTGTACTACCTGCTTCTCTTTAAACACAGGAGTTATTTTTCTGGAAAATCTGCACAGATAGATATCAGTCAGTTTAGCTAGTTAGCTGGTTTGAAGGTTCCCAAGTCTTGAAATTCAGTTATATATACTTTGCCCTTAGTATCTTAAATTGCATGTCTTAATTTTAAAAGTACATAGGACCATGGGACCAGCAGTTAGCATAATGGCTATGTCGCTGGACTCCCACGTAGTTGACCACGGTTCACGTCCTGGACCCGGTAGCTTAAACTCACACCGGGCACGTGTGCGTGTGTGTGTGCGTGCCCAAGATCCCAAGAGGAGAATGGAGGAGAAGGGATTGTGGCGTGGCCATCCCCCCTGGGGGGTGATTTCTCACTTTCTATCTCTCTGTCTCGCTCTGTCTGTCTGGCGAGCGCATGCGCCCTATAGCAAAAACTTCTCCAAAAAAAAAAAAATTACATAGAACCAGGAAGTGACAGCGTTTAAGGCACTGGACTCCTACATTCCCAACCACGGATAGTCTGGCAGCTTGAAAAATGCTGGGCACATGTACATGCGTGCCCAAAATCCCAGGAGAGTAATAGAGGAGAAGAGATTGTGATATGGCCATCCCCCAGGGGGGGTGATTTCTCACTTTGTCTCTCTCCAGCAAGCGCATGTATCCTATGGCAAAAACTTTTTTTTTTTAGAGGATTTTGCTCTAGGGCACATGCGCTCACCGGAAAGACAGACAAAAAGCAAGAAATCCCCCCCCCCCCCCAGGGGGATGGCCATGCCACAGTCCCCTCTTCTCCATTCTTCTCTCAGGATTTTGGTCGTGCATGCACACTTGCCTAGCATGACTTTCAAGCCGCTGGGTCTCAGACTCAAATGACGGTCAAGCACATGGGAGTCCAGTACCTTAACCACTATGCTACCTGCTGGGCCCTACCCTATGGCAAAATCTTAAGTAATAATAATAAGAGTACAAGCCCCCAAAATGAAATAAACTGCCAGTCTCTATCCAGCTGTTAAGAGGGAAAGGGTAGGGAAGGCCCTTTAAATTTTAAGCACACTTGTGCAACTGTACACTGAAAATATCAAGTACAGGTTGAAAGGGAAGAGAAACTTGAATTCTGGCTGGGTTGTCTGGACTCCCTGGCAAGTTGTTCCTTTAATGAAATGATATGCATTTAACCGTCCCCATTCTCTGTTCTATTGCTTTGTGTGTGAGAGAATCTCTGGCCTTCATCTCCTGTCCCCTTTCCCAGCTACTTCCAGCCTCCCTCCCTGTCCCCTTTCTTCACCTCTCTCTGACTGTAGAGCATAGGTGTCTCACTCTCTGATTCTTTGCAGATCGACGTAATTAACACATTCCAGACGGGAGCCTCTTTTAAGGGAGTCCTAAGGCGACCAACCGCTGGGCAACAACTTGATGTAAAACTTGTTCCTAGCTCCTCCTATGCAGCAGTTGCATCAGTCAGATCCTCCCCCACCACTTCTGTTGCTGCTGTTTCATCTTTGGGCAGTGAGTGATAGTCTATTACAATGCATGATTTGCTAAAATGACCACCAGAGAGCACGTGGCATCCACTTTAACTAGCCGTGGTTATCTTGCCCTTTGGGTTTTTTTTTTTTTCTTTCTTTCATTTTTTGGCTTAAGGGAAGAAAAGACCAAAATCCCACCGTAAAACCAGGCTGTGTGCCCTTTTATTTTTTTTCATGTTGAAAGCTATAAAACCTTAGCCATTCTAAAGTCAATAATACTGTTTTATCGTTCTGCATCGCCTGCTCCTTTTCTCCTTGCATTGGTGCGTTGCCTTGCCTTGTTTTTGTTACTGTTGCTGTTGCATTTTGCTGTGTTTGGACATGTTGTTCCTCTCCTCCTGCTCCTTTGCACCATGACTCTACCTCCTAAGTTTAGACACCAGGTTAGGCTGAATGAAAAACCAGTTGGACCTAGGATAATTGAGCCAATATTGAACTTGGTTGATAAGGATAGTCTTTCTGTCAACTGTTGCATGGTTAGCAGGTGAGATTAGCATGAAAGTTAGAGCTACATCGAAGGAAAAAAAAGGTAATTTTTTTCACATGTACAGATGTTCAAGACTGAGCACCTCTGTTACTTTTCAGAGACTTTAAGCTCTGGTTTAAGAACCAATTGATTCACACATGGGTAGGAGAAATAATGAAAGGGTTCAAAGTAACTGATTTTTTCTTCATTTACTAAATGTTTTTTAGGAGTTTCTGAAGAGCAACCTTTTCCTTTTTGGCGTCTCCATTCCTCTAGTTTGTTTCACCAGCAGCCAGCCCTTCGTGTCTAATTTTACACATACAGTTTTAGAAACCCCTTTCTCAGCCAGCCTTTCATTGAGAATGCTGTCAGCTCACAGCCCAAGAGGTTCCCATCAGTAGGTTGCTGGATTCGTGCTAATGCTTGCCTCCCTCTTCCTGATCATTTTACCTTCCCCAAACAAGATGCAGAAAGGAAAGAGAAGGCAGCTAGTCTTTGCTAGTAGACTGTTAATGTATTTGATGGGCAAGGAGGTTTTCTGTATTAAATCTATCGTGGGCTTGAAGGATCTGAGTGTTCAGTCTATCCCTTACTCCCCCATTCCCAACCTCATCGCCCAATCCTGGGATGGGAGCTGAAGAAGGAACAGTTGCATTGTCTGTGGTTCACATGACTGTGAGCTGTGCAGCCCGACCAGATTTAGATTTGTTTTTCTTTTTCACCAACTGTAAGTATTCTGGTGTGCAGTCTGGGGGCGGAGTTTGATGGAGAGACATATACTATTTCTTGAGGCCTAAAGGCAGGCAAGAAAGAACTAAGTAAGTCTTATCCAGCAGATACCCAAGAGCCTTTGATTCTAGTCCTCCCTTATTCTAATTTTTTTTTTTCTTCTAGTTTGCCATCCCCTTCTAACTAGTTTTTGTTCTTTTTAAATCATGGCTCTCTGGCAGGAAGAATTAGCATTAAATGTTGCCGTCGTTTGATGGTGGAAGAAGACTAAGCAGAGGACAGAATCCACTGGGTTCTTGTAGAGGAGCTGCTAGAGTGTGTGCTCCAAACCCTCAGTGGCTAGATGATCAGCAGGGAGAGAGACCATACCTGCTCTTTCTCCAGCTGTGCCTCATAACTTGGAGGCCCTAGAAGTTATAATCATGCATTTTAAAGCCCACTTTCCCATTCCAGGCCTCCAGACAAATTCATCTATTGATACTTATCCAGCCTTCATTAGATAGATCTGTAAGATTTCCCTCTCCTAACCCTTCTCCTGGTTTCTGAAAAGGAAACAGAAAACCACAGAATTTCAGCTGAAGAAATGGAGTCTTCCTCTGCCCATTTTTTGTACTCCAGGAATCTTTAGCACACCTACCTAATCTAAAGTCCAGCCTGGTTGGGACTCTCAAGTCATGGAAAAAGAGTTGCCCTTCCCCTTAGGATACGACCCCCAGAAGAGACATTTCCCACAGATTTTGAGAAATGAATACCAGGGAAGGAAGGGCTGATTGGCTGAGTAGAGAGTGCTCAAAGCTTGCACCACACCTGCTTCACTAGCTGTGTCTTGTCCCTACGCACCACTCATGCACCAGGCTCTGTGCTCCAAGAAGGGAGAATGCTAGCCCTTGCGGTGGATGGTGGTGGCTGCTCATCAACATGGGTTCTCTGAGGCCAGCATGGAGTTGAGGGGCATTCTGACACAGTCCCATGCCCTCTACCCCCCACTCTTCTCTCCACCACCAGCCAGGTGGGCCTTCCTAGCTCTCTCCTTCACTTGAGCTTCCCTTACAGGTGGATTCTCTAGATTCCAGTCCTGCAGTCTAGCTGAATAACTATTCCTTGCTCCCCTAAAGAAGAAGGTTCCTTATCTTTTCCATCTACCTATCCCCAATTCATTTTTATCTCCCTCATTGTTTACCTGTAACAGTGTTCTTGGTCACCCTACCAGGTGAGAAGAAAAGCCAGCAAACAGTTACAGACCCTCACTCCAACCCGTTTTCCAGTTTGTTTTCTGTATGAAACTTCACATAGAATTGTTTCAATGAAGTATTCAGTTGCTTCACAAAGAGCAGGAAGTTTAATATCACGGATAGTAAAGATAACAGACTGGTCATATAAAGGTACTGCTTACCTTTTTCGTGGCCTCTCTCTCCAGCCTCTCAGGGATCTAACCCCCTTACCCTACCCGAGTTCTACCAGCCCAGGTTCCAAACCACACCTCAAAGACCCACAGTGGAGAAAAATAGCACTGCCAAAAGGGCTGATGCCCATGGGTAAGGAAAGGCTGTTCGTAGGGATCAGTTTCTGGCAGTTTCTACCCTTTGAATGGACTGGATCCCTTCCTCTCTGTGCAGTGGAACAGAGACTTTGACCCTGGACGATGTGTTTGTGCCTTCGCCCAGTAAAACTGCACTCTGTTTCCATCCCACCACCCTCTTTGTCCACCCCATCAGAAGGGCCATTTGGCAGCACTGCCTCTGGAGTAGGTTTCTCTCCTTGGTCCCGGCCTCTCCCGTCTCCACACCAGATCACATGGCTCCTCGCAACTTGGGAACAGCTGGAGAAAGCAGCATGATTGGGCACAGCTGGGTGCCCCGGAGACGTGGGCGCGCATTCGAGTTGTGAGAGCCAGGTCTTCCCTCAGTGGGCAGGAGGAAGGTGTCTTTCGACATTTGTGTTTCACTCTTGCCTTTTTGGGGTGGGGGGGGGTGGGAGGAGTGGAGTTCTGCTGCTTTCGGGGGAAGGGACACAGTGGAGGCCGTGGGGCGTAAATGTGTGCATGACTCCTGCCTGGAAGGGCAATGCATCAAGGCGGAGGGCCTTAGTTCCCTGCATGCTGCTGACACAGAGGAGGACTGGTCTGGCTGGCTGGCTGGCTGCACGGTACTCGAGGTCACTTGCCACCCAACGTGTATTATGTACCAATTGGTATGTGTTGGTTCTTTGAGAGTTTTAAAGAGGTAACTAAGCTTCAGTGTGTAATCTTTTCACCCCACCTTCACACAATGTTTGGCCTCCACACAGAAATCCACGTGTCTGAATCATCTTTTAAGTTTGGCTGTTAATTTGCACCTGGTTCCAACGTCTTTGCCCTCCACCCAAAAGAACTAATGAGTCTTGTTTTCTGTTTTCATTTTAAGAGTGGATTGTTTTGGAAATGCTAACTTTGCTTTGGGTTTTCTACTTTTTTTTAATGGAGCCCTTTGATACATGCTGGTTGTGTGCCATCGCTCACCCCACCCCACCTCAGGGCTCGAAATCTGAACTGTGTGTGTCTCGTGTTCGGTTTTGGTTGTTAAGCAGTCACGTTTGGTAGTTGGGTTTTGTTTCTCTCCTGAAACCACCAGGTCCTTTTTCTGCTGGCTAGATCTCACCTCCCTGTTTTCTCGTCCTCCTTTCCTTCCCTTGCTATAGATCAAAGTGGTCAAAGCGTTCCATAGTTCCCTCCACGAAAGCATTCAGAAGCCCAAGAACCAAGACTCCATCCACAGCTTCATGACTCACCCTGAATTCGCCTTAGATGAGGAAGGGCCGCAAACACCACTCTTGGATGAGCGCGAGGAGGAAGATCTTGAAAAGTTTTCTAAGTCTGGAACTCGGGTGCTCCTGCTGGACGGTGAGGTCACTCCACATGCCAACAAAAACAACAATGCAGTGGACTGCGACCAAGTGCAGATTGTCGCCTCCCACACAGATAGCCCTCTGCACAGCCTGGAGACATCAGTCTGAGCTTTCATTCTCCAACTCCCTGCCCTACTTACTCTATTCCTCTGTCATCTGTCCCATCTCTAAGGTGGTGACAAGACTTCTCACTGTCATGTCAGCTGCTCCCACATGTGCGTGAACCCCCACCTGACCACAAAGAGGCAAGAGCACAGACCTACAAGGATTTCGACATAAACTTGAGTTGGGGTTTGTAGCAGGACCTAGTCAAACCCCAGGCAGGTAATGGTAGAATCTACTACTTGGGTATACCAGTTGTCATTGCTAAAGAAATGACAACAGTTCTTTTGGCATCACTGCAACCCAGATTCCTCCTCGGCGTTCATACAGATGTCACCATCTCCTGACTCTTGGGTTTTATCCTATGAGTTTGTGCCATTTATAAGCTAAGTTGAAGATTCAGGGAGAGACAAATATCCCCAGATGAACTATGTTGAGGTAGAGCTACAAGGATATAAAATCAGATAGGAGAGTGTTATTCAAAACAATTTTTCCCATTTTTGGAAACTTGTATGTAAAGTCCTCTAGCTCTTTCTGTCCTTCTAGTCAAACCTCTCCATGGTTCTTTTGGTCTCTTGTGATGATCCCGGTCTTCCTTTCCTTTCCTTTTTTTTTTCTTTTTTTTAAAGTTATGATGATTAAGAAAATGCAAAGTACACAAGTGAATTGAGTGAACTTTGACCATTCTCCCTCTTGGTTTCAATAGAACCTTTAATTTAGTTCTAGAGGCAGACAGGTTTCTTTGCTAAAAGGATCCGTGGAAGCAATTAAGAGGTGGTAAGAATGTTAACAACCCCTTAACCTTGTCAGGTTACCTTTGATTTTTAAACTACCATCTTGTCAGGTGTGTGTGGTGTTTTAAGTGCTAGAGCCATCAGCCTTGACCGAGACGCTTGCAAACGCGTGGTGTATAGTTTTTAACCATAGGCCTGAACTTTCTCCTGTTCCTTAAGTGGTGGCAAAAGAATGACTTGGATATTGAGGACCAGAAGCTGACAGGCCTAGGACAAGACAGACCATCAAAACAGAACTCTGCCAGAGTTCTTTGGGGCAGGATGATTGTTGGGGAGTGAGTATTGAAAAGCCTTGGGGCAGCCCAAAGAGCCATTCCAGCAGCATCTGAGAAAACCTTCCAGCAGGGACCAGAAACCTGGTGCCTTGGCACCTGAGTACCAGCTTTGACATTCTCCTCAGTTTTCTGACTCTGCCATTTGCCATGTCCTACAACCTGTTCAGTCTTGAAGAAGATCTCGTCTTTCTCAAATATTCTGATTTTGGAAATATGTATTCAGAACAAGAGGCCCCTATGACATTAATGCTGAGTTAAAGGAGCAAAAGACCCCTGCCTCCTTGAAAAGCTCCCCTTCTTCCAAGCCCACAACAGCCCAGCTGCCCCCCAGCCGCCACCCAGCCACGCCCTGTGCCTTTTCCCCTAAACACTGCCCAGAATACCCCCTCTCCCACCTGCCTCTCAGGAGCTGGAGACTTCGCCAGGAGATGTTTTTTTAAGTGTTCCTTATCGAGACAGTGGCTCCATTTTTGTCCCTGCTGATGTTGACTTAAGCTCTTCTGTGCAGGAGTGAATCCACTTCCCTTAACTCCATTTCTCATTAAATGAATGAAGCATGACCACCACCCCCCTTTCCAGAGTGACAGGACTAAGGAAAGGGAGCCTGAGGCCCTTCAGAGCTGCCAGATGGCCCTTTGTGAGAGGAAAGTGACCGAATACAACCACTCCCCCCTTCTGTACTGGATCCCCTCCTGAGCTGTCCAAGGTAGGAAGGGGACCCCCCAGTACAGTCCCGTTACTACCAAATCCATCATTGTAGGAAGTGGGGGGACACAGTCAATTTGGGTTTTGTAAAAGTTAACATGTTTCAGCAAACTTTTCCCTGTCTTACATTCTCACCAGGCACGGGCAAAACCAGCTCACCGACGGGGTCAGGTGTTCACATATCTATGTATTAAGTACAGTGGAAGATTTAATTCTGTCAAGTCTTTTATTACCTCAGATCATTTTTAAAGCAAGCCAATAACAAGCTTTGGAGGCTGTTTTACCATTC